TTTCTGAGAGTTCTATACCTTTTTTATTTCCCACAATTCCCCCTCTCAGTTCAACCCTAAAGAAATAATTTTAATGACTTTGCTGTATATTAACTACCTTGTGTTACATAGCTCTACTACTGTGCTTTTTGGCTTATCTAGCAAAATAGCGTTATTAGCTTTCTAAAGAAGGCTATATTAACAAACTTTTATTTAATATATTGGTTTTTTACTTGTCTTTTTTGCTTGTTTTGAACCACAGTAGTTTTAAGGTTTCAAAAGATCTGGTCGATTCCAAGAATGTGAAGTTAAATTCAGAAGCAAGTGCTATCTTTGTTGTGTTAAGTCTCTGACCTAAGGTCTTAAATCAAAGCCTTCGTCATCTTTTACACTATCATACAGTAACTGAGATTGTCAGACAACTGCATAACATCCTGTGAATTCTCTGTATTTCCCTTTTCTACATCACTTTCTTGAACAACAAAAGCTTCTTTGATGGTTTTGCTCATCATCTGTCGTACACAAAGAAGTGCACAAGGCACTACCACTAACATCACAGCCACAACAATCAAAACATATAAACCTACTCTGCAAAGCTCCCTTAACCAACATGCAAGGTTCCATCTCTTAAACAAATCGTTTACCCATGATCCATCATCTCTTTTGATTTGAGATGTTAAATCTTTCAACTTTCGTGGATAGATTCAGAGTGATGAGGAAGGTTCATGCAACACAATCCTTCAAACTCCTCACAACCATGTGCTTGTGCCAGTAAAAGAAAATCAATTGCTGCTCTATTTCGTAGAGTGGCATGTCCAACATTGCTAACATCTGTCAGCATATCACCAATTGTAATGGATGTGGCATTGGTTTGTTTACTCTACCAACATCTGACCCAATCTAGTTGTTTCAATGCCATTGTTGAGGCAAGTTGGGGTAATATCAAGCCTGCTGAAACCCTTTCTGCAGCCTTCCAGGGCCTAAAATCACTCCTACAATTCTCATCATATTGATTTTCCCCTATATTTCTTCTTAATGACTGCTTTTGCACGAGGTGCTATCACAGTGAGCTTTCCAATGTTGCATGGACCACCTTCAAGGTGGGATGGAATGCTTTGCCAAGCCCTATCTCCACAAATTACCAATATCCTTTTGGTAGTTGTCATGGATATTGGTCAACCCTGGAAAGTCCATCCTAACTGTCTCAATAATTACACCAAAAACTTGAATTTCTGTAGGTAAAGTAACAGAGAGTAACATTGTGCTTTGGAGGATCACTTTCTTGCCAATCACTAACTGAAAATGTAATGCAGAAATCCATTGCTAAAGAACTAAGGATTTCTAGTTCTTGGGGTTCAGATAATGCTTTGGGAAGTTCTCTGGTTCAAATGTTCCAGTTACTCACAGGATTGCTCCCGTTGGCAACCTTGCCTGGTTTACTATTCAGCTGCCCTTTGGTCAAAGGATTATAATATATGGGTATCAGCCAGTCTCTTACTGGCACACCGACTAGACAGGTTGAAAAATGCTTCTCTGGGTTCAAATTTGACAGGCATATGGTGTCTGAACCTGTAACCTTGGCCAAGGCAACCCAAACATTTGTCTTTGGTTGTCCTACAGGTAAATCTGCACTGCATGAAGCAAGCAAGAGTAGCAAGCACCAGCGTAGCAATAGATTTTGTTCCATATCTTTCATAAGCTATTTTTTGGCAAAAGACTTTGGCAGAAGTCTGCATCAACCTGCAAAGGCTGCATGGCCTCAGCACAGTCAGATACTTATCCCAGCAAAGGAAATCTTCACTTCCCAACACCTTCACCACACCAGTGCACAGTGAAGCTTTGCTGCACCACCAGCTTGCCTGGCAGTCAGCACGACAGAATGCTGGAGAGAAGTGAAACAGAAACCAGCTGAATTTTTAGCATGAGGACAAGCCTGCCAAAACCAAAAGGTATATCCTCTACATTTCTACTAAAAGCTGTTATTTTGTGCTTTGTTTTGGGAAGAGGTTGCTCGCTGGCTTATCTCTGTCTTGCACAATCCTGATGATTGCCTGCCTCAGTTTTCCCACTCCTATTTACAGGAGCTGCATGCGACATTCTGGGGTGAGCCCTTTGCTCTTTGCCTGGCCTTGGGCAGACATTGGCTGTGGTACAGTACAAATAACAACTCCAGAATCAGCACAACTGCAGGCACTGAGTTTTGACTGTAAGGTTTTTCCCCTTTTTACAGTCAGTGGGTACATTTTTCAGTAGCCTGGGAGAGGGAAGGCTGTCTGAGACCTGCTTTACTGCAGTGTCTGCCCTACCTGCGCAGAGCTGGCACTGCCCAGCCAGCCACAGTACCACTGTGTGCACATGGAAAGTACAGTAGCAAGAACAGTGTGTGCTAGGTAGCTCTGCAAAATTAATAACACAGAATTTAATGCTAAAGGAAGAGACTTTTCATCAATTTTGCTAGCAGAAAATTTTCTTACCAAGAATAAAGTCTATTAGATGTTTCCAACTACAAAAATTAAAGCTCTCCATCCATGCAGCAATGTCAGGAGGGGTTTTGTTCCCAGGATCCCATTTCTGGGGCTATTGTTCTCTGTTCTGGTGGCATCAGAGAGAGAAGTTATAGATTGTCAGGTTGCCTTGTATCTTTCCTATTCAAGAGCTAGGATAAATTTAGTGTCTGTGAAAATAAAATGAACACATCAGTTCAGAGCAGTGCTACTTGTCAGATATGATTTGACAAAAACATTATAGAGCCAACATCATTAAAGAGATTCGGAATTAGAAATCTGTTGGGGTTTTTTTTTAAATTAATTAGCTGAATTTTCCACACTGACCTTTGTTTTGGCCAAGAAGCAGAAGTGTGATCTATATGCTGTCAACACACTGCGTTCAGGGCTCAACTTGTAACCTTGTAACCCACAAAAATGTCTGGTTTGTTGTACAACCATTGAACTTCCCTGGAGGTCGTTCGCCTGCAAAAGCAGAAGTATGAAGCAAACAGGATTGTCAGCAATTTCCCCACCCCTAGGTTCTCACCAAGTCAAGACATTATTTTGGTGGAACATAGGTCTTCCACACAGCAGAAATTTCACTAAACTCTGTTGAACCCAGGGCATTTATATGAAGTACAAAATTTACAGGACTATTGTAAATATCTGCATTAAGTGACAAATAAAAATCATAAGGGCAGGTGGCTTAGTATTCATAAACTATTGAATGTTTTTCTTAACCAGGTTTGCAATTTCTTTTTCTATCTGCTTATCTCTATATTTCTATATGCTTATCTCCAAATCTTCTCTTCCTCCAGAATTACTTGGTTCTGATTCCAATTTTGCATACACACTTCCTCACTATTTAGCTTCTTGAATGTGCCTTCTTTCTGCATACCATTCTTTTGGGGGAGTGGTCTTATGTCTGCATATTCTTGAATATCTTGTGAAACTCTGCAGATTTCCTTGGAGAAGGAAGCAGCTCAGCACAGGAGAACACTTGGCTTTTGAAGTTTCAAACATGCCTTTGGAGCCATCAATTTTGAGTGTTCTGCACCAGCAGCAATATCATATGGGAATAACAGAAGTGGGAACTATACCCAATTATTTTCATCACAACATAGCAGGGTGACAGCTCCTAGACACTTGCAAAAGAATAAATGGCTAAAGCGCTGGGTAGAAATGCACAGCTACCTCAGTAATTCGCTTTGATGTCGACCATCAGAGTGCTTTCATTCTGAAACCAGGAGTGCACCAAGTGTTTCAAACTTTTCATTGAGACAATTAGAGACAGGATTAAAGACTGTTGAAGAACAAAACTCTAGGAATAACTTTGCTTCAGAAAAAGCTCAGAGCAGGCATTATGGAGCACGATTCTTAATAGGTGCCCATACAGTGAGTGTAATTAGAGCTCTTGGAAACACATAAAATGGAAGCTGTCCTGTGCAGGATCATTTTCTTATGAATTAGTAGTGATTTATCCCCTGTCTGTGTATCCTACCACCCAACCATGCTTCTGCACAATCAGAAGGATGGAGCAGAGCTGAAGTTCTTTATTTCTTTTGACTTGTCAGCCTGCCAAAGGGACTGTGCACATGAACAGCTGCTTTCTGTTTTGTTTTCTATCCTGAAATAGCCAACCCTCATTAATGATAAAATCTTCCAGTGTAAGGTAAAAAAGTATCAACTGCTTATGAGGGAATAGGGAATTTCTATAGTAGGACACACTAGGAACAATGCCACAGGAATAACACAGCTTGCAAGGCTGAGCATAATTTTGACAGAAGCTGTAAAGAGGTTGAGACAGTTCTGAAGCAGAGCAGACCAAAAAACCCAAACAACTTGCTTCATTCAGAGGAAGTTCTGTTTGAGATTCAAAGCTGATGACTCACTTGGGATACTGACTATTAAGAACACTTGAGCTTCTCCTCCTCTTCTGAAAATCTGCTGAGTTTCCTGTCATCTGAGGTAAAAGACATGTGAGCTTTAAAAGCATGAGATTCTGAAACACAGATAAATAGCATCAAGATGCTGTTCTTACCATCCCTAGTCAGCTCTTCTACTTTACTTATGTTGTAAAAGTTTGACTATAAAGTCAAAAAACTTTTCAGTTTTATGGAGCTTTAAGAAATCTTACCTTGCACATTTGGAATGCATATGGGACACCCATCACTCCATAAAAGTTTTTATCCAGCACCAAGCTGCTTCACACCCACCTTTCTATTTGACTCCTGGAAAGAATGCACTGCTTAGTGCAACTGGAAAACTAAGCACAGTGTAAATCTTTGCATATTTATACCTTTATACTTGAGAACAGTGATGGTTTTATCCCAGTATGAAAAGTACTAGGGAGCTAGAGAGACAATATTGCAGGTTTTTGTCTGCTCCAGTACACCTGCCTGCAAAGATAACAGTGCTTCTTGATTAAACCTGAGTTTACACCTTGATATTTACTCAACTGAATCAAACAAAAATATTTTGTTGACACACTTGTATGAAGCTGAACTGTTCAGCACTATATTGCTCTGAGCAAGAACTGGTTAATTCCTGCCATCAAGCAGTAAAAACAGAAATAAATGCCATTCATACAAAGCTCAGAACACATCATCTCCTTATTGGGCTAAAGGGGTTCTATACATTATTGGGATATTTCTGTCCCTCACTAAACTTGCAGGAACAGGAATATTCTCACTCTGTTCTTTTGCGTTTCCTTCATCTACTGTAATTGAAATGTAGGGGGAAGGATGTTCTTTCCTATTGAGACTTCTTCAGATACAGGCCATGATCTTGATGCTTAAGGGCTCATAAAACACCATGGCAGATTTCCAGCTCTTCACTCTGGCTGCAGCAGAAGATGCAGAGTGGCAGCTTTTGCTAAAGCCGGATGAGTTGCTCACATTTGATAACTGATCTGTCAAATAAAGATTTCTCAAGGGTTTTTTTATCATTTTGCAGCAAAAATTTATGAAGCAGAAGCCTACACTAGCCTGCAAGAGCTGACATTCACGTACAGTTGAAGTATCAGA